CATCGGCTGACCCTGACTCCTAAATATCGGCAGCATATATCGGCCATCGGCTGACCCTGACTCCTAAATATCGGCAGCATATATCGGCCATCGGCTGACCCTGACTCCTAAATATCGGCAGCATATATCGGCCATCGGCTGACCCTGACTCCTAAATATCGGCATCAGCTATTGACGAACCCATATGGGTCGACCTGTAATAAGTATACATGGAAACGGCATGCATGCCCTCGGACAAACTGAGCACGCCATCTCACTGCCTGACCCAGATGTTTACCAATGACGCTTGACCTCCATGAAAGTCAAAAACTAATAAAAATGATTGATCTTGCGTGGGTTTGTTTTCTACTTTAATCTATACAGACATGAAGCTTCCTCCCTCCATCTTGAAAAAATTTTTAGAGCAGGGCAACATTCTTCACCGCTACAGTGGCCTTCTGGTATAGGGTAGTGTCCATCGTTTGCACACATCGCAATTTCACAAAATGTCATCCAGGTATCGCTCGCCTATTGTCTCATCCATACTGAGGATTCGAACGCACTGCTCATTTTGCATACTGTATTTCGACTGCTACATAGCACGCACGCACGCACGCACACACACACACCCTTGTTTTGCACAACAGAAAATGGAGACATCAGGTTGTAGCACCAGTTCAGCTTGCCGCATCACCGACACACTCGGCGTGTTTACGGTCGGCTTCTCTGTCCGTTCCCGAATATCCAACTTCCACCAAAGCTCATCCACGGGCTGGAAATGACCCTGAGGATATCTAGGTATACAGCAGGTCGCCCAACCCCCCACGAGTGGAACAATCAATATATGTTAATTCAAGTTTACAATGATGCCAGCAGCTACGGCCAGACAGAGGCAGGAAAAGTTCTCAGACTAGCAGCAGTGTGTTTGATACGCTTACGCCGATTGGGTGCTTAGATCCCCTTCAGAAGGCTGTGATAGGTCCTTGCCTTAGAGACTATTCAGGGCTTCATCACTTGCCATTTTACTACACCATTATTTTTCCAACAGGAAAATGAACCACTATCAGGATGAGTCCTCTGCACCGTGAAATAAAGAGGAACGGCTCTGAAGACTTTACACGGGTAGCTTCCTAAATTGCCAAGACTGCACACCTTTTCACAGCAAGAAGAGTACATTGTGCAGGCAGGAGAACACAGACAAGTTGGCATAGTTAGGTTGCAATCAACTGGGATCTTCCACAACTGTCTTCACCTTCAGCAGCCGTAACTCATTGTTTTTCCTAGAAAACCATTAGCCGGTGTTGGGCTTCTCCAAGCGGCTACAGTGAACACAAAGGTGTTGTTATACATGGACGTGCTTCCGTGGAGCCGGGGGACACGAATATTTCTAGGAGAAGTGTCACCGGTTGCTCAGGTAACCATCCACCCATGAAAATGAAAGCAGGCCAAATATCTAAGTGATAGAAAGCTGCGCGAGGGGTGTTAATGATTTAGACGTGTCGGTGAAACGGGTGTGTTTTCCTTGCTATCGGCCACGGATTCACAGAAACTGGAAGCCAGCCGAACTGCTGAAGCAGAACATGCTCGAGAGACATGCCACCTTAACACATATGCCATCTATATAAACACACGGATGACATCATTTACACTGTTTAAATATAAGCTACCAACATTCTCCATAATCCCTTAAACACATTTGACCGAACTCAAAAAAATTAACCCACCAACAAACAATCAACAAGCAAAATGCCACAGAACAGAGTCAAATGGGCTCAATGAATACAAGTGCAATGATTATACAGCAAGGTCGAGCCAGCTGAGCATAAGCAACACAAAACCTAGTTCAAAAAATGTTCAGCTGTACCCTCATGCAAATGCACACAATCTAATAAGAGACAAAAACAACTTGCCACTTACTATCATTTCCACATGGTCTGCATGGAGCCCTAAACAGACTATGCTACATTAGCTGTCATATCGCTGTGCTAAGTGGCTGTGGGACTTGGGTGGATGAAACATTTATCAAGCAAGGCAAGTACCTTAAAAACAGCAGCAAAACCAAACTGAAAGAACCCCTTGCCTTCTTGTCCCAATTCCTGACCAACAGAACCACATTGTCCCAGGTGTCTTGATTAGGGCCTCATGAACACAACAAGCAGTCTATTTTCAAGCTGCCTCCCATCAAATGGAGATAGTTATAGTTATAGATGGGGATTCCTCTCTGTTTAGGTCTGTCGTCATGACACGCAAAAGAATGTGTCCTCGTGCTGGGTCTCCAACAGCTACCAAAATGCAACACAGCACACTTTTTAAAAAGACAGACAGTGCGAGTATTACAAAGAGAGAAAACACAGTACAACAAAACCTGATGCAGACATCAATGTGGTTAAAGGCCAGAACAAAGAGGCTCAACTCCCTTGAGATACAAGTAAGTTTCCTCTGCTTCAGCCAAGCTAAAAAAAGGATGCATGGCAGGGCTGTCCCGCTCTGGTCCCCAAGGGGAAGGGCACGCTCTACATTCTGATTGGATGTCAGCTCTTAAAGGCATGAAGGTAGTCACACCATGCCAGACGCCAATTAAAAGGCACTGCTAACGTCTTGGTCACCCCTGGCCACAGAAGGCAACACACTGCCCCCCCCCCCCAGCAAACCCCCCCAAACCAGGACGAGAAGTATGGTTGCAATCGAGATCAACTGACCTGATGACTGTGGACACTGGCTCAGCCGGTCCTTTGTCCTTCAGCTCCTGGACATTCACCACCTGGGGCACCGTCTTCAAGGTGGACTCCGTTAGGGAGGTGGAAACTGTTCCTAGGGCAATTGGGGGGATGGGAGGCAAAAACACCTTCAGAGGAAGCTTTGAAATGTATTTGAAGCTACTCGAAATGTATAAAACACCAACACCAACAACTAGGGCTGCACGATATTATCATATCACATTGCAATGTGAAGTATCCGCCAGTAATATTGCAATATAAAATTACCTGAAATAAGCAACAGCCAAATACAAAATTATCATCTACCAAGTGTCAAATAAGTCAGTGTTGCCGTGAGTTATGTCAGACACAAAGCAGGGCCGACAATTGCGATGTGATTATTGTGTACACAACGATATATTGTGCAGCCCAGCCAAAAAACCAAAGGGAATCAAATAAGGAATACGCAGGACTCCGGCAAAATAAATTACACAAGTTTTCAGCATGAAGTTAAATAGTAATGAGACACTAACCCCCCCTGGTGGCAGCACAGTGAACACACCATTGCCAAAATTTACACACATCCCAGCTAGCGCTGTAACCTACACGAATTCGACACATACCATTCAGTACTTCATTTTCCGTTTGGTATGCACAATGAAGCAAATTAATACAGCAACTGACACGGGTGAAACCTAAATTCACAAGTAGATGTTCAACACAGTAAACATTATGCTAATTAGGGCTATAAGTTCACTACAACTAATGCAGCTAACGTTAGTCGGTCAGTCGTAATCGGCAGTTTGGGAAGAGAGAGTACCTGATAAAACCATGTCTGTCTGTCGGCTCTGTTATTCCAAACTTGAATATTTTAGTTATTTTTTAATATATGTTTTTTCACACATTTGGTGCTTGTCACAGGATTGCCTGCCTTGCACCAGTTGCTAGAAAAGGCTCAGGACCCCGACGACCCAGAACAAGACAAGCGGGGGAAGAAAATGGATGAGTGGACACATTTAAATTTTACAATGTGCAAATAAGTATGTGCCTGTCTAATTAACAAACCCATCAACAAATGCTACTGGTTTACAACTGTTCCTAATTGTGTTTGTCTTTTTAACAATAAATTCAAAATAAGTTCTGCTTTCCCTGCTGCACCAAAAGTGCACCGAACCATGAACCTAAACCACGTTTTGTACCAAACTGTACATTTTGTGTGGCATTAAATCCCTAATCCCAACCTCATAAAAGAGAGCAACTGGCGCTGTGTAGGAGTTCCTAACGGCAACAGATGCATAACTTTGGCAAACTGACATATTGCACGCCTGGATATAACCTAAAACGGCCTCATTTGGAGAAAAACATCTTCTGTGAGGAAAAGGTACTAGAGCTGTAAATCAGGCTACAGATTCAAGGCACCTTTCATCCCCACGCAAAAGACCCATAGGGGTTCAGACCCATAGGAAGAATTGGATAAAAAAAGCAGTGATTAACCTTCTGTAGCTCATGCCGCTCAGCTCTTCCCCAGCAGGCTGGCATTGTGTGTGGTACATTAACTGATTAACTAACGGCGTGTGACTGTGACCGACCCGTCCCCTAGCTGGGCTGCCGCCTATTCCCATCATCAGCCATGCAATCTGTGCGCTCACACTGTTCAAAGCATCACGGAGAAGATGATACTCAAGTGCAGGACTATTTCAAAAGTGCAAAAGTTAACATCTGAATAACAGAAGATGATATAATAAACAAGCATGGCAGTGCGGATTGGCACGGGCATGCAGGGTAAACACAGGGCATGGTATAGGCTCAGGTTAGTAATGTCTGCTGGCAGAATGGTAGCCTGTTTGTTGCCTCACTGGCTGCACTCCCTGCGTAGATGCAAATGAGGATAACTGATATCACACTGAGCTGCGGCAAAGTGGCACACTGACCTGGTAGACGCAAAAAAAAAAATACAACTATGAGACTAAACTTGCACTACTTTTTTTTTTTTTTTTTTTTTTAAACTGGAGAAGAGAAACTACTGAGACTCCACAATATCACCTCCATGCAGATACCTGGTTTCTGATTGGCCATCTGCCTGCGCAGGGCGGCAGTTGCGGCCGCCTGCTGGGGGGGCACAGTGACGGGTGTGGTCTTCTCCGTGGGTGGGGCCCCGTGCTTCACCGTCTTGGTGGCAAATGCTGTGCTGTCTGCTCCGCCCAGATTAATCTTGTTGCCTAGAATGAGATGGGGGGGCCGGGATTGGGGACAGAAACTATTCACATAGGGGCCTATTCTCACATCAAGCACTTAAGTCAAAAACCTGTGTAAGATGTGTGATTTTGAGTCAAAAAGTTGGATTTAATACATAAAGCAGAAAAAGGGGGTTATGTCTTCAATAATTTTGGCAACAAGCAAAGCATGGAACATGGACACTTTAATTCACATTGTAAACCTAAATGAAATCAGCAGAAACTTCTATTCTGAAAATGAGAGTATGGTGGTATCCTGCTATGCCTATATTTGGTCATTCACACAATTATCACTGACAGCAAAAACAAAACGCGAAATTCAAACACTGTATTTTGTGCCGCGCAATCAATATTACCTTATTATGTATACTAAAATCATGTCATTTGTAACTAATGATTTCTGAAAGGGAAAATGCACTGCCATTGCAGTTTTAAGATCACGCAACACAAAACAAGATAATATCGAAAGATTTACAAACTATTATTCCATTTAACCCACAACAGACAATTAGTATAACAGGATTTACCTTTATTTCTTAAATTATTTTGTACTGTAAATTGTTTTATTCCACAACTGATTAACTACCCCAGAGTCAAAACCACCATTTCAGACAATGATGCTGTATCATGTCAGACTGTCAAAACAACTCTGTAAACAAGCTTATACACTAAACAAATAGATATGATGTAAATATTAGCATTATTAAGAGCTGGGATCAAATGTTTAGAATGCTTTGCTGATTAAATAATTATGCAATAAACAATATAGTTCAAACAAGCTTATATGCTACAGTGTAGGCTACGATACATTATTCCAAACAAACTGCTAGTCACTGGCACTAAAAATCCACATCTACACCATCAAACATAGAACGGTTACCAATCAGGCAAGAGCCCTGGTCAGGTAGTTCTGCTGGGGACTGTTACAGCACAGTATGTAACAATACCACATTATGTAATAACTCGATAAAATGTAATAAATTTTCACTTCATTAAGTAATAGCACCTGCGATTTGCAATAATATGCCGCATTTTTTAACACACAGCTGGAAGGCAATTTCCTTGCATTTTGCCATAAATTATTACATATTGTGGCGGTTATTACAAAATGCGTTACTTTTTAATGGCGAAAATGTAACACTGTGCATTATGCAATAACCAAGATGGGCGTCTTCATTGACACCATCAAGTTATTACGTAATGCAGCATGATTACACACTACATTGCTACAGGGACCCCTGATATAGTGCATATAGGAAACAATGTGTTCAATAATACCGGACAAGTTATATCGCATATTGGTTCAAGACTGAGCATTTCACAATCCACCAGACATGCCATAGATAAATTCAGTGTCAGTCAGTTGCAAGTGTGTGGAATACTCCTGCTGGTCTAGGTCTGTCCCACTCTCACGAGAGAACAAGTGCACAAGCTGCAGTTTAGCAATGTGGGCACACACTACTTCTATCGACCCTATTTTTTAAATTTTGCCAGAATCTAGCCCAATGGTAACATATTTGAATACATTTGTAAGTACCACTGTCGTATGTCATTCACATAATTATTCACATTTTGTATTGTAACATTCCTAAACATGAAATGTAAAAGGTTTTATTTGTAACGTTTGCCTTTCTGAACACTACAATACTGCATTTGACTGTGTAGAGGTATGTGACTTAATACTGCCCTCCAGAGTGCAGAGTGAAAAACACAAGTCAAGTCACTTAAGGGTCATTTACATGTGATGCACCCATATTGTGGCGTTTCTCTTCCTAAAGTGTGTATCAAGCACAACTATACGTAAACCACAGACCTAAGTCAATGAGACAATGCACTTAAGTGAAAAATGTGTGCAGCTACAAGCTTTTTTTTGACTTGCGCTCATGGGAGAATCGACCCGAGTGGATATTACTGGTTACTGCGTATTGATACCACAGAATTAGTATAAGGTATTACCACTAATAGTATCACCTTGTTAATGAAGCCTGACAAATGAATAAACTGGATAAGCGAGGTAATTATCGTTAACTAAATCTAAAATCTAGAAAACATTTTTGTAAACAAATAAAATAAGACAACAAGAAAATAAAATTACAACTAAACAAAAACTAAATATTGCTTCTGAACCTGCAGTCTGTCAGTGCTGCAGGACCACAGCATGACTGCATTGCAAATACATCTTAGAAGACATTCGGGCTTGACGGACTGACCTGATAATGTGAGGATAAGCACCACGCAGCCTCTGAGTAGCCTAGCCTGTCTTTGTCATTACTTTGATTTAAATTATTTGCTTAACTTATGAGCTAAAACTGAGTCAAAATTACTGCTAAAGATCTCACTATATCCAACTGCCCTGTGGCAACGGTAGAGACCTTCAAGTTTCTGGGAACAACCATTTCCCAAGACTTGAAGTGGGAGCCCAAAATCAACTCCGTCCTCAAAAAGGCCCAACAAAGGATGTACACTTCCTGCGGCATCTAAGGAGGTACGGTCTGTCACGGGAGCTGCTGATCCAGTTCTACACTGCAGTCATTGAGTCTGTCCTTTGCTCATCAGTCACAGTATGGTTTGGAACAACTACTAAACAGGACCAAGGGAGACTCAACAGTGAACAGTGAGGGTAGTGGAGGAAAAAAAAAAACCATCGGTGCCCCCCTGCCCTCCATCCAGGATTTGTACTACTCAAGGACTAGGAAACGGGCAGAGAAAAACACTGCAGACCAGTCACACCCTGGACACAATCTTTTCCAGCTCCGCCCCTCTGGGAGGAGCTACAGAACTCTGTACACAAAAACCACCAGACATACAGTAGGAGCAGCTTCTTCCCTCAGGCCATCACCTTCATAGAGAGATAAGCTGTGTCACCTGCCTTGTCAGTTTTCCCCCCTTAAACTCTGTTTGCACTCAACCTCGCACCTTATACTTTGTACAGTGGGTTACCCATGTGTGTATATTTCAAGTTTTATTTCTTGTATAGTGTAACTTGTTTGTATAGTGTCATTTATTGTCTGTGTACTAGGGGGTCTCAAGCGGCTGGAAGCAAATTCCTTATGTGCTCCAGCACACTTAGCGAATAAAGCCGATTCTGATTCTAAAGATTAGACCCATCGCTTAGCCACATTAGCTTACATAAGACAATAAATAACCATATTTTTATGAATTTAGGTCTGAAAGAAATAACCGTGCGATATTTTATAAGTTGTGTGTTATATATGTGATATATAGGAAATGAAAATTAACTATACGAGTATATGAGTAGTATCAGCAGATACAAAGCAGTGGAGGCAAATCGCCTGCTTTGCTCAAAATTGTCACTACGGATTACAAATAGGGCTGGACAAAAATGTTATCCCAATAAAAATGTTCATATCGGTCGATATTGCTAGTTATCGCGATAAAAGTTAAGTCATTATTTCTCTCCAGTTTAAAGGTTGATTTTTTGAAACTTTTCTTTATTGTCAAAACGTAGCAAACACTTGCCAAATAGAAACGACGGCCAAAATGATGCTTCCGGAACAATTTGTTCTAATTTCTGACCCCACTAGATGGAGCTCTCTATTAAAAAAAAGGCTCAAATCATGCGGAAAAGGAAACCAAGTGTCACGCAGACCCAACAGTATTTTGCATTTCACAAGTCTGAGACGGAAGATGAACAGGTTATTTTAGTCATTTCTGAAAAAACGCTGCTGCATTCTTCCAATCCTTTCTTAATTCTCTGTGGATTATTACCACTGGGATTTCTCATGGACTGAATTTTACTGAGGACTTTCCTTTTAGATTTCGCTGTATTACCCTTATTGAACCAGTTCCTTTGGACTTATTAGCTCTCCCAGTAAGTTTTGAAAGTTTTTTCTGTTGTCTGCCCGCCTGCCCTATTGCATTGTTTTGTGTTCAATAAATTCCCCCGTTTTCATGACAGTGTTTACGCTTGAGCTCCACTGCAGGTCCTGCCAAATAGTCACAGAGGAAGAGCTAATTTTGCAATGCTAAGCGTGTCACCAGTGACATGCTTTATCTTAAATTATACAGAAGTGTTAAGCATTTTGCACATCAATATCATTGTCATTTTAATCGCCCAGTCCTAATTACAAATTTTTTCCATACATACATAACCAATTCTTGTGTGCTTTTCTCTTTCTCACCAATTTGTTTAATTTAAACGTGCCACACTGTCTAAGACTGAGTCCAAAAGTAAGGACAACATCTATTGGAATCTGAAGAGAGCATGCAAAGCTCATGCAGGACTTTAGACTTATTTTTTACACACTAGACTCTATTAATATGGAACCATCATTAAAATGCAAAGTTTGCATTATAATGATGGTTCCATTTAATGATGAGGGGAATATATGTTTTAGTGCAACTTATTGATGGTCTCAACCCAGCAGACTATTGCGGTCTTTGCAATGTGACAATTGCATATGCATGAAATGCCACGGCAATATAAACATCACACATTGTTCAAGCTGTGGGTGGCATGGTGGCGCAGTGGGTAGCGCTGTCACTACACATCTTCGATGTGCGTGTGGAGTTTGCATGTTCACCCTGTGTGTGGTTTTTCGGTGGATCCGCTGGTTTCCTTCCACTGTCCAAAAACATGCAACTTAAATGAATCAAAGTGCCTAAAAATGATGTATGTGCAACTGAGTGTATACCCTGCAATGTTTGGTTGGTTACTGCTGCAACCCGACTGCAATGCATAAATTATACTATATAAACGATTACTCGATGAATAATCAGATTAAAACAGATTACTCTATTACAGTCAGGACTTGATCAGACACACAAAACAGCTCTACAACGTTCAGTCTACTCCAAAAAATAAAATTACTAAAACAAAACTAAAAACTATTTATAAGAAAAAAAAAAAAGACTAAACTACTGTGGACCTTCCGCAATGTGGAAGTTAGGGGTCCAGGCCCCCTGCAATACGGGAAAACCAAGTGAAACTATCTGGTTGTAAAGACCCGAGAAACGCAGGATACAAAGATGACGGAGATCACTGCGTGACATCAAACGAGAGGCTGCCATAAAAAGGACTGCGTCCTCCTAACCAGCACTCTACTTATTTTTTACGCATTTAAGAATTATTGTACTGCTTGTGTCACCTGCTGGCCTCTGTAGGTCATGTCGTCATCTTTCGCAAAACTGCCAAGAAATTCCCTTTTGATTTGCTATGCCGGCCCCGCGATACATTGGAACGACAATACAGGGCGACTGTACACTGAAAACTACATAAAACAAAATTTCAAACGGAAATATAAAAATAAAAACTATATTAAATCAAAACTACAATAAAACTAGTTGAGAGTGACTATTACACCCAGGCCTATAACCAGGGATTGACATAACTGGTACGCAAGTACGCATTAACCTTAAAAAGCGATACGTGCGGCAATCCATTGTTGTCCCAGCGTGAATGCGTAAGTATTTTATGTGCATTTGCGTCGAGATGACAAGAAATTATCCTGCATTTTAACTCATTTCGTACTTCATTTGCGGAATAGAGGTTAAAATGCACGGTAATTTCTTATCATATCGGCGCAAATGCACATAAAATCCCTAGCTATGTCAGTCCTCCAACCTCAACAACAGGGCAAATAACCAGAACAGGTTAAACTGGTCAGTCTTAAAATAATAATATTGTGCCAGCACATAATCCCTGCCCATAAAGGGATTTCAAGGTCTTCGAATCTTGTGACTGTCTATCCTAGTCCCACTCTGCTGTGTGACCACAAATGCACCTGGACAAACCGTGTGAACTACAAGAGCTCCATACTGTACAGAATTACCACGTCCAATCAGGTTACTGACCGGGGGCGGGGCCCACGATGGAGCTGAAGCCTGCGGGCGCTTTGCCGAAGGGGGGGCCCTGAATCCCAAAGCCGGGCTGTACGGACGAGGTGCGGACCACGGCGGGGTGGCGGGCCGTGGCCAGGGCGGGAGGCACCGCGGAAACCTCTTCCTCCAGAGGCCGCGAGTCCTCAGGGTCCAGCGCCTGCGAGAGGGAGGAGGTGGAGCTGCCGTCGTCCAGGCCCTCGTAGTAATTCGGAGAAAGGAACGCCGACCGCGACAGGTTGGCTGCGGAGAATGGTGGGGGGTGATCCAGTGAATGAATTGCGACCTTCAAGCCAAATGTATAAAAAAAAACCCAAGAGGAAATGGTGGCGGGGGGGGTGGGGGGGAGACGACAGGCAGGTTACCTGGAGCGGTGGAGCGCACTGGAGGCGTCTGTCTCTTGGACAGGAAGTTCCTGAGCTGGTGCTGCTTTGCTGGAGACATTTTCACTGCAGACAGAGAAGGGAACGTGATGCTCATGAATGAACAAGCAGACAACGCATCTCCGGGCCATTCCCTCCAGATGCGCTAATATCCAACTCTCCAATTTGGCTGTGCGCGTGTGTGGGTTATGTACACATTACATTTGTTCCCCACAAGGGAAAATTCAGTTTTATAAAAAATCTGTGACAATCAAAAAATTCTTGTATTTTGTTTTGGTTACTTATGGTCAAGGTTAGGTCTGGGTAGGGATTGAGGTTGTCACTGTCCGCACAAAGGTGTGAATACAAAACGTGTACATGTGCGTGCACGTGTGTGTGTGTGTATGCGCGTGCATCAGAAAGGTGACGATACCTTGCGATTCGGAGGTAGCCTTGGGCGGAGACTCCAGCCTGGCTTTCAACAGTGTGTCTCTCAGACTCTCCAATTCACTGTCCAGGCTGGGAAAAGCAAAACCAGTCAGGACCATCACCGGCCTTAACTTAAGAAGCTCTAAGCTACACCCCCCAAGCCTTTACCCCTGCTGGGACGGCGGGGCGGGTCTCGGCATGCTCCAATTGCTGCTGGCTGTCTTGTTGTACAGCCTGAGGGCCTGCAGATCCTTGACCAGCGAGTCCAGCTTGCGCTGCTGCTGGTTGATGATGTCCAGGTTGTTGGCCAAGGTGGTGAACAGAGCCTCACGCCCGGGGACAATCAGGTGCCTGTAGAGGGGACAGCCATTTACACAATGGGACACCCCCACGCCTCGTCCACTCCAGGGGGGGGTCAGTCAGGGGATTCAAACACCACTCTGAACCTCCATTAGCTATAATCAGGCCTCGTCAGTCACATGCGCTACTTACTTCTGCTTTTTCTTATTCTCCAAGTGCCTCTCCCACTCCAGGTCCAACATGTCACTGACGTCATCCACTGAGAATTTCACGTACTGGTACAGCCTCCGGATTTCCTGTAGAGACACATTGACTGACACTTGCAGTGAACAGGCCTCGCCCAGCTATAGTGGGCGGGATTATTGCAGGCTTTGAAATGCATCATTGGGCCCAACTGGATGAAACTGGCCTGACTGACAGCGTCGAAGACCCGGCCACACTGAGCTTCAGAAAGCCTCATCACATCAGCTACACCATCTGGATTTTCAAACTGTAGGCTTTTTCACTCTAAAGTCCACCCTTCCAGTGACCTCACCTTGAGCTGCTCCTCCCGGCGTGGGTCCAGCGGCTTCTTGTAGAGTAACTGCAGGTAGCGACTGTCCTTGCTGAGCTCACGCTGCGTTTTGCCTTCCTCGACCCCAGCGAAGCCCTCTAGCAGGGTGGTCTTTAAGGATCCGATGTCACCGTGGAGAGACTAGGGCAAAGAACGAAACATCCCTGGGTCAGTTACGGCCTTCGTTTGCAGAGACACTGATCTGCCAATTCCAATTACCTCTTATTTGAAGTCCTCATCCGTATTACTCATTAATACTCATCTATATTACACATTGTTATTGGTTTACTCGATCTTACTAGGACCCTCAGACACCAAGTTTTGGCTCCATTTCCTCTGTGCTAGATGCCACTTGATACTTCCTTTAAAAAGCCAAACCCTGACCAGTAGGAGGCAGTGATGGTCACTCATACCTCTGTCGTTTCCTTGATTTCGAGAGCGAAGACGTGGAGGTCCTCGGCCTCCCGCCGGAGCTCCTTCATCTGCTCAGGTGAACCCACATGGAAATCGGCTTTACCAGCGCGAGCCTTCAGCTCATCAAGCTCCTTCTGAAAGTGGGCGATCTGGGGGCGGAGGGGAGCCCAGCGGCAGTGGTGTCAGCCTCTGACAATTACCGATTTACATCAGCTAGAGAGACGTCTTACCTTATTGTTACTAATAGCAAAGAACACACAACAAAACAGTATTTTACTCTGGTAGAGACCATTCAACAGATCCTACAGTAACCAGGGGTGGGCCAATTCATGTTTTTTCAGTCCCGATCTGATTGCGATACACAACTGCCGATACAAATACAGATTCCAATACAAGAGCTCTTTTTACACACACACACACACACACACACACACACACACACACACACACACATATATATATATATATATATATATATAGAATTTCTGCCTTACATTCAACCCACTCATCACAGTTAAGAATTTTTTTTTCCTTTACAGCCCATTGTACCATATATGACCCAGTAACAGTGACATTTAGTGATTACTGACTGAAATAACCAGATTTTTTTTCCCACAATAAATATGGCCTTCAACACATTTTGAGGTTGTTGCTGTACATGCTGCAAAGATTCACCTGTCAAGCTGTGAATAGGTAAGTGGCAGAAATTTTGCATCATCAGTTATAATGTTTAGATGTTATAGAACATGTACAGCTAGGTTTTGGATGTTTTGAAACTTTCCTGGCAACTGTGATGATGATGTTCCATGTGCTTAACATGAGCCTCAGACAAAAACAGAGGGAATACTGGTGGTGCACCAGACCTTACAAGCCACCAAAAGTAAACTTTCTGTGTGTAGTGCACCTTTTTGCAGGTGTGTTCACTTGACCTGTTTCTTGATGGGTTGGCATGTTTGAAGCATGTGTTTTATTGCCAGCACATGGTGAATGATGAAAAGGAAAACTCAATAAATGCATTTTGAAAATGATAAAAGATTTGGTTTTTCCTTCTGTTCTGTCCTTATTTCATAGGTGAAATTAACAAGTCGGAACAGCATGAACAGTCCAGTGGGTCGTATATAGTTATTCATAACACGGATTGGGAAAAGGTTATTTTTACAAAACACCTGTTTTTGAGTTCACTGGGTCTGTATGATCATTTTAGCCAATGGACATATTTTTCTTATGATAAGGTGGTCTGGGTTCTAGTACTTACAAATGAAAAATGTATGCCAAAAAAATAGTAATTAGGCTACTAGAAATATGCGTAACGTACTGTTCCACCCTGTTTGTACATCTTGTTTTAAAGGTTTCTGAGGATTTGCAGTTCAATACGAGTATCTTCCAAGCGAGGATACGCAAGTGGCGAATGCTTAAAACGCCCCACAATTTCTCTTCCACTGGCAACAGCGTCACTTACACTTAACCCCTCTTGTATCACTAGCTGTAGTGAGGGCGCAAAGCAGCCCAAGCTAGCGACTCCCAAATCATACATTGCTTTTCCGGTCCGGTCATTGTATTGTCCGTCTGCGTTTTGCCTGCCTTACCTGTAATTAAACCCCGTATTCCCCGATACCCTGACATCTGCGCCTTTGTCTCCATTCCGTCCCCGCTCGGCACGACAATATTATTATAATTAAATGTATTAATAGTTTATTATTAATAATATTTAAATAATTTATAAGAAATCTTTATTTTACAATGTATTTTATTATATAATAGTCTTACTGTCTATCATTGTCTAAATGTATTTTTACTGTCTAAATATTCAGCTAGTGTAAACTTGCACGATGCTATCACAACGAATGCGAGGCTGAGACTGAAGCTTTACCCTTTGTTTCTGCTGAGAGACGTGCCGCCTGACTCATTTCCCCACGCATACAAGTTCTTAGGTTGGCGTTCATGGTTCAACTTCTGAGATTCAGATTGAGTTCTAGGTCTTTTTTTTTATTTTAAGAAATTCAAGTTCTAATGAGTTCGAGAACTGAGGTACCACTAAGTCCAAATGGTTCAGCTGCTACCTCACAAGCCTCGAGGGCAACCCAATTTTCATATACGAGTATGCAAAGGGCTCGGCCCACCCCAGTGACGACAATAACGAAATGACAATAACCTCCTCCAGAATGCCAGCCATGACGGGATCGGATTCCTTCCTCTGCTGCAGCTGCTTCTCCGCGGCCTTCACCGCCAAGGTTACCTGGGCAGGAAGACAACTTCGTCAGAGACAATAAAGGCACGTGCAGTATGGAGACGTCAAACTGAAGGGGAAGGTGCCAACCTGCGGGGAGGGGCTGCTGCTGGCGGCCTGGGCGGGGACGATGGCCTTGGGAGCAGCTGGCTGCGGGACGGCTGCGGGGGGGAGGACCGCGCTGCTCTGAGCAGGCCGGGCCTGGGCTGTGGGGTGAGACACAGATCCAGCAAAATGGCTGTTTATCACAAGAGTGACATTCATACAGACCCTGGGAGGATATGTCAGGGTGCAGCACAGGACAGCATTTTGGTTTCAATTAAAACACGATTATTTTATTTATATAGTGCCTTTCTCACACTCAAGGATGCTTTACAAAACATACAATCAACACAAAAAAATAACAAAGATCAAGCATCCAGAAAGAGATATATTTTTAACTGAAGCTTAAAAGTTGAAACACATTGTGAATAATAATAATAATAATAATGATAATAATAATAATAATAATAATAATAGATCCAGTGGGGAAATTTATACCTCCCCCAAATTGCTCTCTGTATGTGAGAGCAAGCTGGCCCATAGACGTAGACAATAATTACACCTTCTATGCCATGGCTTTGGCAAACACTAATT